CGAGGATGCCCAGGGTGCAGTGTCACCAGTGTGGCTGCGGCCTGGGGTGCCCTTTCCTCTGGGATGGGGAAGGAAGTGACCCCCTGAACAGCTGGGGAAATCAGGATAGGCCTGGCTCCCTGCAAAACTTCTCGGAACCGAGCAGTCGCTCCAGTCTCCCAGGGGTGGGTGGGGCAGGGTCTGCACCCCTGGCAGTGCACATACAAGGGACCCCTTTCGCCTCCAGCGGGTAACCCCTGGGCAGAGCCTCCACCTGGCCTCTCCGTCCAGGTGGGCTGTGCCAAGGTCTCTAGCCCAAGGGAACTCCCAGCATGCACGGCCTCTGCTCTGCCCAGCTATGGGACCCACGGTTAACCCTTCACATGCTGAACCCTGGCAAGGCACCTCCTCCCCATTGCCTGGTGCAGCACGCGGGGGACATTCCCTCTTCCCTTTACAGCTGGAAACAGTGTCGCCCCTTTGGCTGCCGCAGTTCGTTCAGAGCCAGGCTGTTTCCATTAGAAGCAGAAATGGACCCTGTGCGTCAGGGTTGCTCCTCGCTGCAATCCTGTTCCCCCCCCCTCCCCCCAAAGAACACAGCTGGAGTCCCCTGTGCCCAACAAACAGGAGGCAGGTCCCTTGCTCAGCAATCAACATCTGGCCCTGCAGCCAACACCCTGGCCAGAGGCAGGCGGGGCTCTGTCTGGCTGCTCTTTTTGCTCACAACCAATCAATTCCCCCTTGCAAATGCAGGGCATGAGGCACTCAATCCTAGGGAAACCCCTTAGCTTGTGATTAGCGTTGCAGTGAGCTCCATTGCCTTGGGCAGCAGCTTCCTGGTGCTTCCAGCTATCACGACTCAAAGGGATATTTAATTGCTCCATCCCTTTGGCCTGAATGGCAGGTGCTTAGCACAGCCCTTGGCTTTAACCAGGTCTATGATTGTAGATCAAAGACACACTTGATGGATGCCACCAACACTTCCCAGGGTAACAACATGACCACACACCAAGACACCCCAGGGAAAGTGCCCGTGGGCAGCGACACAGGAAAGATGGATTCCAAAGCTGCTGGGTGAGCGGCCGAGCGCCTAGAGACACCAAGCTCTGTGGGTCACCGCAGCGGTCAGGGAGCCAAATGGTTGGACTAGCAGGTTTAAGGCTTGGGGCAGCCAGATCTCTCCCCTCCACACACAAAGGGGGCCCAGGCCAAGCCCTGTTGGCTGCAGCTGGGTCCCCAGCAGGATTAGGGGTGGGGTAGGAGGGGAGTGGTAGCACTTCCGAGCATGGCACTGGGGAGAGCACCCACTGGCAGCATCTCCTCCCAGCCAAACCAACACACGGCACAGGCCAGGCGGGTCCATATAGGGGCCCTCCCCCTGACAGCCGGGACTCAGTGGCCACAGGGTCACACTTGATGGGGACACCAATGGGATGATAAATCGGTGCACTCAACATCCGCAGGGCAGAGCGGGGATAGAACCCAGGAGTCCTGGCTCCCCGCTGCCCCCCCTTGCTCTAACCACTAGACCCCACTGCCCCCCAGCAGAGATAGAACCCAGGAGTCCTGGCTCCCCGCTGCCCCCCCTTGCTCTAACCACTAGACCCCACTGCCCCCCAGCAGAGATAGAACCCAGGAGTCCTGGCTCCCCACTCCCCTGCTCTACCCATTGGGGTCTGCTCCCCTTCGGGACCCGGGAGAGAACCCAGCCCCCTGGCTCCCCGTCCGGCCCTGCCCCCCATCTCCCCAGTGGGCCCTGCCCCCAT